GCACATAGAAACAACATCAACAACTGCAACAACAAATTGTAATGGGAAGAGGAGAAGCTGGTGGATTGGAACCGCTGGGGATGCAGCATTTGCTTAGCATCAGAACGTCATGTAGTCTATGCTGCTGGAGGTTCTATCATGGGCTCTAGGATCAGATTGACTTTAGGAAGTTTATTATTAAGCCATTCATCGTTCTTAGCCTGAAAGCTCCATGAAGCTTGTTCAGCATTGTCGTGTTGTTGTTGTGTAGCATAGAGTCGGAAATGATCCATAATTGACCTCTCCATAGCGGGGGTGGGGTTGGGTTGGGGACTTTAGAGGCAGTTAATTGCACAGGAGGAGATTGCCCATCCTTCTCCTGAGGAGCAGCTAATGGCCTCCAACCACATGCCTTCAGGATTGTAGCACAGCTTCTTGCCTCTAGGAAAGCAGAGCTCTAGCATTGTCTTAGCTTGGCATTTTTAAACATAAATACCACGAGCATAAGGCTTTATCAAACACAGAATATATTCTGTCATAGTATAAGAGACTAAATGCCTAGATGAATAGTGCCAGGTTTAGGGTAAGGTTTCCTCTGTTGTCTCTGGAAGAAGAGTCTTATGTCTCCCTCCCATCCCCAACCCCGTGTACAGTGTACTATATTGATGATACTTGACAAGATGGACTCACTATGTCCGTTCCCTTTCCCAGGGGGACTGATGGAAACTGTGTCAAGAATGTGATATTCTCAGTGTGTGGGAGGATCGAGTTGGGGCAAGGACTCCCCAGCAACTCCCCAGGATCTCTCTCTCGCTTCTAGTTCTATTGCCGGTATTGGTGGTCCAAGGGGCTACTACTTTTTGGAGACCATGTGAACCATCATGTTGACCACCCTTTTGCTATAGTCAAATTCAATGTCATACAAGGAAACGAATTTGACAAAGTGGTTGTCCAGGGCAATTCCAGCCAAAGCATCAAAGGTGTCACTGTTAAAGTCACAGGTGACAACCTGGTCTTCAGTGTATCTCAGGATGTTCTTTAGAGACCCTTCTGATGACTACTTTCTTGATGTCATCATATTTGGCAACTATCTCTGACTGACACATTGTGGGTAGGGTTACGGAAAGCCATGCTAAGAAGTTTCCAATCCAGTTCAGGGATGACCTTGTCCCACAGCCTCAGCAGTGCCAGAAGAGGCAGGGATGATGTTCTGGAAAGCTCTACAGCAATCACACCACAACTTTCCAGAGGGACCATCCACAACCTTCTGGGTGGCAGTGATGTCATGGGCTGTGGTCATGTGTCCCTCTACGGTGCCACAGTTGTTGTGGATGTCCTTAGCCAGAGAGGTAGTGCAGAAATAATTTCTGACAATCTTGAGGGAGTTATCATACTTCTCATAGCTCACGCCCTTCACAAACATGAGGGACACCAGCAGAAGCAACAGAGATGATTGCCCATTTGGCACCACCCTTCAAGTGATCCAAGGTTATAAAGATGTCAGTGGACTTCACAACATACTTAGCACCAGCATCACCCCACTTTATGTTGGCAGGATCTCGCTCCTGGAAGATAGTGAAGGCTTTTCCATTGATCACCGGCTTCAGCCTTAACAGTGTCCTTGAACTTAACATGGATTATTCATGGCTATAACATCCACTTTTCCAGGGATCAGGGACCAGGCCAACTTCTTTTACTCCAGCCTTCACCATCGTGTCTCAGGGATGTGGCCCAGCCTGTATGAGAAGAGAGTGCTATTTGTTGATTGACAAGGAGCCGAACCTTGTGTCTTTTAAACACCTGTAGGCTAGATGTTCCTTTGAGATCTCCACATGTCTTGGCATTTGTTTTCTCTTGGGTCTAAGATATTCTCAGTGAAGGTATTCATAGTCCAAAGGATACGCTTTGCTCTCCTCTCTGGTGCATTTAAGCTTCCTCCTGATCTGCCCTCTTGGTTAGTCTTCTTTATAACTCAAAATTTACTTAAGACACAACACTCCTGTGGATTGCACTGTGTCTCATTTACATAACGGCCTTTAATCTTGTCTCATTAACACCCTAGAAGTTAGGGTTTACAATACATAGGATGATTACATCAAATCACAGAATAGAAGATAATTACATAACACTGGGAATCATGGGCAAGTCAAATTGAAAATATTTGTCGAGAACAGTTCAATCCTGAACAAGTGTCATAGAACATATAAGTTCCCACCAGTAGGCAGGTAAGAACTATACAGAAGGTATGCTCACTAATAATTGAGCCCAAGTCTTCCTCTTCCATGCGGCATGAATTCTCATACTGAACAGCCATTGCACCATATTATATTTTTTTGTTTTTTGTTCACTTGCTCATTCTTTGTGATGGGCATATGCTATACCCAACCTGAAGATTTAAGAGGTTTTCTCACTCTTTGGCTTTGACTAAGAATAGCACATCTTAGACCTGGCTTGCTCCTTTGACCTTGGGGTTGGGATGAAGTGATTTGTGTAACAAAACAAGGAATCTTAGTTTACATGTAATGTGAGTGAGAAAGAAACTTTCTTATTTTGTAAGCTACTGAGATAGTCAGATTTTTATCTCAACAGAGCTGATTAATGATTATAATGATAACAAAAGCAGGGAAGTTTGTGAGAAAAAAAAATTCCGTGATGTACTTGCTGATGCTTATAGAAAGAAGTTTTAAAGATTTTGAGTTTGTGATGATGTTAGGACACCTCCATGTGGTGATATCTTATAAAGCTGTGATACTATCTATTAGCAGAGTATCTGACACATATAATAAGTATCCAGCAAATGTTTACTAAACTCAACTACTGAATGGGACCTTAGGTCAAGGGTCAGTGCTGGAGATAAAGGTCTTAGAGACATCATTATAAGATGACAGGATATTCTACCTGATTTAAAAAAAAAAGTGTATCTGAGCAACAGAGGACCAAGAATTGAGGTTTGTGGAAATCATTGGATAGGATTTAGGAAGAGTAAAAGGGATTATATAGATAGTAAACAGTCTGAAAAACAGTAGCACATATTACAGGCACCAGAGGAGAAAACTGTTTAGAAACTTGGAGTGGTCAGCAGTCTCAGATATAGCAAGGGTCAAACAGAAAGATGACTGAAAAGATATCTTTTCACAAGTTCTAGGATTTCTTAAGAGGCTTGAATTTTATGTGGTATCCCTAAAGAGCAAACCAAAATCATAAAAAGAAAACCTTACTGTAATTGAATTGGAACTGACTTATAGTCCAACACTTAAGCGAGTTTTCAGATGCTGTAAATTACTTGGGAGGTGGCTCTTCTTTCTCCCATTGAACAGCTGTAGATTCAAACTGCCCACCTTTGTATTGGCAACACAGTCCCCTATGACGGACTAGGCTACCAGAGCCTAGTCCCAGGTGGTGTGAATCATTAATTGTGTTGCTGCAAAATGATAGCTGATACTTTAAGACCACTCAGAGGCTCTAGAAAGAAAGACCTCGTGAGCTATTTCCAAAATTTCAGCCAAAAGCCAACAGAGTAGTTCCACTTTGCACCTTTGGCGTTTTCTTGAGAATGGACTTGTTTTGTTTTACTCTAGACACTACCTTCTTTAAAAGTTCACTCAAACCAAGGTATTTGTATCTAGATTTTAAATAATTTTATTATAAATAACAATAAAAAAATGGAAATGATCTTTGATTTGCCTCTTTTTTGAGCATTAGCACTTTGTGTGTAGAGTTACTTCATTAATATCTGTATCAAACAGCTTTTAAAACTACTTATATTCTTCCAAATTTTCTTTCTTTGTATCATTGCCATTACATAACTTATATTGAATTTCAAATATAAAATTTTCCTATCATCAGCCTTTAAGAGTGAAGCAAGAAACCTAATTATGTGATTAATTGTATGTGAGTTATCATGAAAGAAATATATTTAACTAGACCCAAAAGCTGTTTTCTGAATCAAACAAGACAACACTACATGATTTAAAATCAGGGAAAGTGTGTGACTTGGTTGTGTCCTTTCTCCATAACTGTTCAGCTTCGTGCTTAGCAAACTACTCCAGAAACAGGACTTTATAATTAAGAATGAGACATCAACTAGTTACTGTAGCAATTCATCTTATCCAGGGTATTCCTCTCCTGTACTGTCCCTCCAAACTTCCGAGAATGATATCCTTCTCCAAGGACCAGTCTCTCTTGTCCACGTGCCCTAAGTATGTGAGATGGAGCTTAAAAGTCCTAGCCTCCAAGGAGAGACTTAGTTTCACCCTCTCTAAGACAAACCAATTTGTTTTCTTTTCAGTCCCTGACATATGTTCAACACTCTTCTTCAACACCACAACTCAAAGGTATTGATTCTTCTTCTGTCATCCTTAGTCATTGTTCAGTTCTCTGATACATAGCAAGTAATTAATTGCGAAACCATTGCCTGGATCAGATGTGCCTTAGTCTCTGGCCTGGATCAGGTGCGTCTTAGCCTCTAGCCTGATATAATTGTTTTTCAGTACTCTGCAGAGAAAAAATAGAATGTGACATCAAGATGGGAGGAAGATGTATCAACAACCTGAATTCTGAAGATGAGCCACTTTTGCTTGCAGAAAATGAAGAGGACTTGAAACAGTTGCTACAGAAGATCAAAGACTGTGGTGTTCTATATATAACACATATCAACATCAAGAAAACAAAAATCCTCACCACTGGACCAATAAGCAATATCACGATAGAAGGAAAAAAGATTAAAATTGCCAACAATTTAATTTTGCTTTAATCCACAATCAACACCCATGGCAGCAGTAGTAAAGAAATAAAAATTTAAAAAAATGTGTTGCATTGGAAAACTCTGATGTCACAGACCTCTCCAAAGCTAAAGATGGAAGATGTCAGTTTAAATACTAATGTGTGTCTGATGACAGAAGAATTGATGAGTTTGAACTGTGGTGTTGGAAAAGAATACTGAATATCCCATGAACTGCCAAAAGAACAAAGAAATCTGCCTTGGAGAAAGTGGAGCACCAATGTGCTCCTAAAAGGCAGTGATGAGGAAGCCTCATTACTTTAGGCAAGTTGTCATGCGTAGCCAGTCCGTGGGAAAGGATCTCATGCCAGGAAATGTGGAAGGTAATAGACAAGGAGCACAATCCTCAGCATTGTGACGATAACAATGGTCTCAAGCATATCAGAGGTAGTGAGAATAGGTCAAGGTTCAGAGCTACTATCCATAGTTCATAGTCGCCTTGCTGGCTCCTAACAGTAACACTTTGTCCTAGAATGTCATGCTTTTAAATGTCGAGTAATCTGTGTGCATGGGAACATGTAGGAGCACTGTTGGTGCAGCAACTATCTAGTAAGTCAATGACTTACAACCACCAGAAGCTCCATAAGAGAAAGATATGGCATTCGGTTTCCATAAGATCCCATTGTTGGAAACCCTATGAAGTGAGTGGTTATGTAGGGTCACTATAAGTAGTCATTGATACTATAACAATGAGATTTTACAGAAAACTCCATTGGCTTATAAGTTAATTAAAAATGTTAAACTTTATTAACAGTTTTTA